TATAGGGTGTTTTGGTATGAAGGAAAATATTTTTCAAATTTTCTCATGTTTGGCTGGGTTAAAGGTTTTGGACAATGTTTTCCAAATCTTCTTTTCCTCGTATTAAAGGAAATGACTTCCCTTAAAATATTAAAAAAACAATTTTAAACACATTCCTCCAACTTAAAATTACATTTTTTTTGGTTGAAAAATAAATTTAAAACTTATTTCATATAATTTCCAATTTTAAATGTTTCCTCCAATCAAAAAATGTCAAAGAAGGTAATTTAGGGGTATATTAACGGCATTAAGTCGCTTCTGCTCCACCACATCGGCACCCATCCTGCCTCAGCGGCCCTGCTAGGGCGGGAGAAACGCCCATTAAGGCAGGATTCCCAAGACAGAGAACTATCTGAAGAATTATAAAATCTCTAATTCAGAACACCTCTAAATAACGACACTTCAGAAATACCTTCCACATGAATATCAATTTTTGAAGTTTTACTCGCCGGAATTTACTTTTCTAAAGTTGTACGGATTCCTTAACGAGTTATCTAACTATTCCTGCAATCAAAATTGTAAATGTTTCACCCGATTGTTACCAAATTTTCTCATACCTCAAAGATTATGATTTTATCCAAATTTGGATTAAGTTGAAAAAAATTCAAATACTATAAAAAAAAATTCCATCCAAAATTTTCCCTCGTTGACTTTTCTATAATAACTTTCTTCTCAATTTTTGTGATTATTGTTATTAATAATCATTAATATTAATAACAACAATAATTTTCTCCTTTTTTATTGGAAACTTTATTCCCAAAATACAAAAAAGGTTCAAACTTTTTTATTTTGTTTTTGCAACAATATTAATGTAGTATACTGCAAATGACTTTCTTCGTAGTGAAATGAAGTGGGATTAAATATGATCCTTTTTTCAGCAATATATAAATTTTTATGTTGTTTTTGCCACATTAATTAGTTTATTATATTGTATTGGTACGAAAACATTTATTTGTTGGAAAATGAAGTGGAATATTATGGCCCCCTTTTCATTAATATATATCAAATTTTATTACTTTTATTATTTATTGCAAAATTGTATATAATTATAATAAAAATTTAAGCGTAATAGTTTTATCTTATACCTGAACGCCCTATAATGAATTTTAGAAAAATATTTATAGCAAGATTGTACATTGTAATGTGAACTTAAACGTAATAGTTTTATATTTTATGGGATATATAAATGTAATGTTTTTATTTCTAAGAAATAATTATATTAATTTCATATTGAATTTGATGATTCTTACATATTTGAAGAATATGTTATCATTAACGATATAGCAAATTTTTTTACTTATTTTGATTGCAGACTTGTATATAGTTATATGGTGATTAGTGAAATGAAATGCAGTAATTTTATCTTTTTTTGGGTAACAGTCTTATTATAATCTTAGAAATAATTATTTTATTTCATATTGAATTTTAATTGTTCTTTCGTTATATTTATTAAATAAAAGGACCTATATGATTTTTGCATTCTTTCAAAGAGAAAAGACATAAAGTGATACTTGAAGTCGTTCCTAATATTTAAAAAGAAATCTTAAATTTTGAAGGTATCATCATTAATTTATCTCATTTTATATAAATTCAAAACTAGAAATGATAATTCTGAAAGCAAAAGAATTCTTCGAAAATTGAAAAAGTTTAATTGAAATTCAGATTAAAAAATCTAAATAATGCCTACTAATTATCTTGAAATATAATAAATTTATCAAGTTATTCGAAATGTAATAAAATATCTAAATATAATTTTAAAATTCAAGAGACTTAAACTAATAGTAGAATAAAAGAGAGGTAGACTTATGGTAAAAAAATGACATTAAAAGTGATAAGTTAATGAAGATGACAATGAATTTTTGAAGAAGAAGGAAGAAAGAAAAAGAAAAAAATAATAAGAAGAAAAAGTTAAAATAATAATAAAAATTATTTTATAGCAAAATTCTTGTAAAAATAAAATTATATTTGTTTTTTAGTTTGTTCACCCTCCTTAAGAGAATGTATAGACTCTCCATGCTTGGTGAACAAAAAATGATGTAACAATATCAATTTAGGATTATTTAGAGAGGGGTACTAAAACACTTGCATAATTTAAATATATTTTTAAAAATTCAAAATAATTTCATGTGTTACTTTATATCTTTTATCTTCTTACAAAACAGATAACATATCTAGAAAAAGTTTGACATTTCACTCATTTCAATAAGTTATTGTCTATGATAGGAATTCATTTATCTTTTATTCTTATTAGGAATTCATCTTCTTCATCATCATAACTTCATCTTCATGTTTTCGGATATGCCTCTTATGTGTATAATCTTATTTTTAGGACTTTTATCCAATATATTTGTTTTTATATTTTGTATAATCTTATTTTTAGGACTTTTATCCAATATATTTGTTTTTATATTTTGTATTAATTATAAGGCTAAAGAATTTTACATATAAAATATTACTTTGTTTTTATCTACAGTTCACATTCATAGTGCGTTTAATTTATATGATGTATTAATTCTTACAACTTGCAGGGAAATGAAAAAGATCAAATGGTAGATTAGTAATAAATAAATATATATATATATATATATATATATATATATATATATATATATTCATGATTTCATATAAATATATAATCACAATTTTTTTTAATTGTAATTACTGCTTTTTAATGATATTATAATATTAATTAATATTTTAAGAACCGCGCGAAGCGTCAACAAGTACGCTAATCATTAATAATTATGAATTTTTTTTGGGTGAAGGTGAAGCTAGTGTCTTGATGATCTTAGCAGATCTAAAAAAAAGGTGTGTTTGGGGGGGGGGGGTAAATAGCAATTTGAAAACTTTTTGAGAGTACATGTTTTGATTTTAACAATTTCTGGAGGGCTTTATGTATCTGTGAGGGCATCTTTAATCCAAACATTAAATTTGGTGTAATCAACTTCAATCCATTGTATTAAATTTTACACAAAAAAAATGAATATTGTTCTTTCTCTTTATTGTAATATTATTATTTCTTATTTTATTTATATTTTTTTATTTCATAAAACAAATTCTTTCTAAAATATTCACCGTATTTAATTTATATAATAGATTATATTACATTATTTTTTAAATAATATAAATTGTTAGCAAATATTATACATTATACATAATAATGGATAAACAAATAAAAATGAAATTATTAATGAAATACAATTGAATAAACATTACATAATTCAAAAAAAATATTTTGAATTCTACATAAATATTCAATTTTCAAGATCACTAAGGTGTTCCATAAATGTTCTACTAATACATTATGTAGTTCACGATAAACTTCTTCGTCCTTTTTTTTTATAACAAGCTATAAATTGTTGAAATTTATAATTTATAGTAAAATTAACAAAAAAATATTTTTTTTTTTAAAAAAGCATATATAGAAAAATTAATCTATAATAAAGCTAAATTTCATATCTAAAATTAATATCATAAAAATATTACATAAAAATTTAAATATTCAAGAGATTTAATTTAAACATACAATTTATATAATGTTTAATTAAAAGTTTTGTATGATGAAATAATATTATAATATTCAAAAAGTGAATTGGTGTGATGAATAGTGTTACACCGAATTTTGTGTAACACTATTCACATACCAAATTTGGTGTGAGTTGAAGCTCAAAACACTAGTTTTTCTATATAATCTATGTTTTTTTAAAAAAAACCTTTATGTTAGTTATGTTACAACAATTGTTAAATTAATGTTTCACTTCTCAATGGATGAAATTAAGTTTCATTTTAAAAAAAAAATAGTATCGTGTTAGTGAAAATGAAATTTTTCTTCTTCAATAGAAATAATTATTAGCGTTTTTGTTTTGGTGATTAGAATTTCTTTGATTTTAAAAATTATTGTTATCCTTTAATCTATAAATAATTTGGGTACCCCTAAATCAGTGGATTACCTTTTTCCAGTTTTATTTTTTGTCATTTTCATTTGTAAAATGTTGCTTTGAATTTTTTTTTCATGAGGTCAAAATTTTGTTGAAAACAATTTTTTAATTTTATGGGTAAGAGTAAAATCACTGTATTTTTTTCCTTTCACATTTCAACAATAAAATTACAGGGAATATGCTTTTTTTCTGTAGTTCCTTTCTTATTTGTACAAAAAGTAAAAACTATTAATTTACAATTTAATTTTGACAAGTCAACCTAATTAGTTTTTGTCTGTAAATTGATTTTCGCTTGCGTTCGCTTAAATTCTTAAAAAAGATACGAATAAAATCAAAAGAAAAAAATCCAAAAAAGAAGAATAGATTTTTGCTTAACGTCTTAGGTCCAAGAAGACATGTTAGACCAACAAGCATTTATATTTGCTTCCTTTACCCCTACATAATCTTCTATCAAAACTTGTTTTTGTGTATATCGATTTGGTAAAAAAACTATTAGGTGGTAGTGTGTTATTTTATTATTCTTCTATTTTAGTAATCGCCATTGGATTTTTATTTCTATAGTTTCTTGTCCTTCAATTTCTGTTACTATCTATCGTTTCTTTTTACTTTGATTATCATTTTTTTTATAGTTACTGTTTTGCTACTTTATAACTTTTTGTTACGACTAGGTTGATTTTTATGCTTCAGTATTTCCTTTTTGAACTGCTCTGAAATGTGTTTTTCCTAAATCGAGAATCTATTGAAAGCTACCTTTCAGATAAGAGTAAATTTGGATATATATATTGGACAAGTTGTTGTTAGCTCATATTAGGTTTGATCCAAAAACTCAAATGGAATATAACAATATGTTACAATGGATTTAAATCAAAGTGTAATGACTATGTTAGTCATTTTATAAATTTTACTCATTCTTTTTATATTAGCCCTTTTTGATAGCTTTTATGCATAATTTAAAACTTATAAGAATGAGTGACATGATTTTCAAATTTAAATAAAAGTTTTTTTCGTAATAATTATAGAAAAGGAAAATAAATAAATAAATAATAATAATAAAAGAAATAAAAGGTAAATGTTGCGGGCTGTTGTAAACAACAACAATTCACGCAGCCGAGAAAAAAAATAGAAAGGGTTGGAATACTCACCTCCGCCGTCAATGTATTTCGTCCAGGTAATGACCGTAACTTAATAAGGATGCAATTACTCATCTCTTTTATAATCAATGAGAAGCTATGATTGTTTAGAATTAATAATATTGTTACTATTAATATTGGCTATGAAAGATAATCATGGAAGGTGGGTTTTGAGAAAAAATTATATTTGAAATTGAAATATGAGTGTAAAATGAATTTAGAGTAATCATGATTAGGTGGTCATCATTGTACATTGAGTGGTCCTTGGGAGATTTAAGTGAGGAATTATGATATTTAAGTAGTAGAAGTTCTAGTTGGTTGCTGGACACATTTTTTTCCCTTCATTCTTCCTGTGACTCCAATTAAAAATACGGTACACATTATCATCAAAGTTGTGATTTATAAATATATCATATTAAATACTATATGTATTGACTATTTGAATATTATTAGATTCATGATATTGGAGAAACTAAAATATAATTCTAGACTTGAAATTTGAAACTATGAGAGTTGACATGTTAATTGACATCAAGATTTACAATCTTGCTTATAGATTTGGGTGAGTTCTTTGCTATAGGCTAGAAATATAATAATATGGATGTTATTAGTTTTGAAATCTTATTGTGGTCATTTATTTGAATAGATGGTTTTGAATTGGAAGTTTAAAGAAAGGGGAAGACTTAAGTTCCGGAGTGATTGTTCGATAGATTGGGACAAGTGTATTTCTAAACCCTCATTAAGTGTATGAAATTAATGTATTTCCTTGTAATATGTGTTTGAAAGAAATGAGAATCGGTGATGGGTTGACGTGTCCACATTGATAAATTCTAATGATGAAAAAGGAGTAAAAAAAAAAGGCAATGTGATTAATTATTTGTGTGATGTGTTGAGAATGGAGAATAGTTTGAAAGGCTTGTTGATCAATTGTTGATATTGTATCATGATTGTTTTGTGAATTGTGCAATGTTATGAAATTTTTCGTTTCCTCATTATTTTATGAACATGTCATTTACATTATTCTGAGACATGATTTTGACAAGTGTTATATAAATTGAGAAAGAATAAAAAATTAAAGAGGATGTACCATTTCAAGGGAACTCACGCGTCGTGATGAATACTATATTTTTTAGGAACGTATCGCGCACCGCGATGGTTACTATTATCAAAGACTGTATCGCATGCCATCATGGATGCATGGACAGATATGCCCCCCATGGGTCAAAGGCTAAGAAATAGGGGGTGTATCACTAGGTCACACATGCATCACTATACTTGAAATTTAATTCTATTACATTAAACATATTTATCATTAATGAAATTGACATGGTGTTTCACTGATCTGTGAGTGCCTTTCTGTGGAACTTTGATAGACGAATATTGAACTTGTTGCTAAGGACATGTTATTGTTAGTGTATTGTTGTTGAACAATGTGCTATATAAATTGTGATGTATTAGGTTGAACTGATTTTATGTAGGTTGAAGTTGTGGTGGTTGTGATTGAGGAATATTGAGCTTGTTGTCGAGGATATTTAATTATTCAAGCGTTGTTGCTAAGCTACGTGCTATGTGAATTGTGAATAGTTAGGCTAGACTTGTATGCTGGTCGTAGTTGTGGAGGTTATGATTGAGGAATATTGATCATGTTGCTGAGAATATGTGATTGTTAGAATGTTTTTGTTTGAGCTATGTGCTATGTGAAGTGTCAACTGTTAGGTTTGACTGGTTTTATGCAAGCTGTAGTTGTGGAGGTTCGGTTGAGGAGTAAGAAGTACCAGTATTTTATCTCTTATATTGTGTTTTGGGGTTTACTTGCTGAGTACCATGTTGTTTGGTACTCACCCCTTGCTTCTACAATTTTTGTAGGTTACGAACTTGTATTTTTTTGTACTTGTTATTTTCTTCTTTTTCAAAGCTTCTTGGATATTTGTGAGGTAGCTACTTGCCATCTCAGCAGACTTTTCTTCTCCTTATTTATTATTTTGTTCTATTTTATAAACAATGTCATTTGAGACTTGCAGTCTCTTTTGATTTTATTATAACACATTAGAGGCTTGTAAACGTGACAACCATATTTTCTGTGGGGGAAGGGTTTAACTTGATTATGAATTTCCATTTTTTTTTGTAAAGGTTGAGTTGTAGGCTGCTTGTCTTGGTGAAATAAGACAAGTGTCATCATGTCCATTTTTGGGGGATGACAAAATAGTATCAAATCCCCAGGTTTATAGGTCTCATGTGTATATGAGCCGAGTCTAAGTAGAGTCTTGATGATTGGTATGGAGATGTTTGTACTTTCCTTCAAGAGTTATGGTGACTTCTACGAAAAAATCTTTAGTTTTTGAATCTCTATCGTCGTCCTTTGTCCAATTTGATTCTTATAGGTTCACTCCATCCACTCTCACTTATATGATGACTGTATACGTAATTCCTCATGTGAGCAGTTGCTTTCGTGTATGGTTTAGTGTATATCAAAGAGGGCAATGATATGACTATTATAATGGTACTGGTTATGATTTGATAAGATATATGGAGTGTGTACTTCTACTATCGCCTTGACCTACAAAGGAATGCATAGAGCTTGGGATAGATACACACCAAATTTGGTAATATTTTACATCTATTCGATGGGTAGAAATTTATGGGAAATTTGGGTACAATCTTCTTGGTAGGTATGATATGTTCTAGTGGTGGATTTAATGAATTTTTGCGGTGTGACACTAGTGTCATGGATATGAATACACCCATTGACAAGTGTGAATATTAACTTCTTAAAGAGTCATAAGTTGTATCACATGCTCGTATCATTAGATTCAATGTTGCATTCAAATTTAAGAAATCAACTAGTTTTGTTACTACCGGTGCTTGAGTTAAAACATTGCTATTAGGGAGATTTTAGTGTTGAATTGTTGATATGGTATTAATATTTTAATTTGTCGAGTGTATCTCGAGGTTTCCAAATAAGGAGTAGTGATTTCATCTAAGCTCTATGAGAGTGGATCAATATCAAAATGACAAACTTATGGCTAAAAGAAGTCTTGCTGAGTAAACTCGTGTGAACGTAACTAATGATTTTAGTAATAAAGTACATATAAAATTGGGTTAGTTCATTGGATTTGATTAGTATAAGTTGTTTTAAGGTGTCATATTGGTAATAAAGTATACTTTTTATGATGGTAATGACTACCAAGCATAATGGTAATAAGAGTTCGTGATAGATTGTGATTGAGATGCAACTATATGATAAGGGTTATTGGTTAAAGAGGTTTTTATATTGTAGTAACGACCTGCGAATACCTAAGGTTGTTGCTTATTACTATTTTGTGAGTACTGTGGGTGTATGTTAAGTTTTATGAGGAATTGAGATTTCACTCGAATAGAATTGTAAGTAACTAAAGTCATAATGGAAGTAAAATGAAATAGTGGGATGTAGTTTAGCTTTCGAAAAGAGGAAAGAGCAAGGATATTTACTTTGATTTCAAGGACTAAAAAAGTATCTTCAAAGGGACTGAGAATTGGTTTTAGAGACGTGTGATTTCATCCGTTTTGCTTTGGTTATAGTAATAGTGCCAGAGGTTCACCAGATTAGTTAAAAACTATTTGATAAAACTTTCCAAATGAGTGTAGAGACATTCATCTCGAGTGTGATGATTAGTTCTTTTGTGATTTTGAGTTTGATAATAAGTATGGTTGAATTTTTAGAGAAGGATATCATAAGGTCAATGGAGAGGCAACCAATGATAAGTTACGATACATGAAGTCATAAAAATCTTCAATGTGTGAGGTCATGTTGATTGATAATTGGATTGGCTATATAGTTGAAACCAAAATTCAACTTTTTCATTGAGGCTCTATGTTCGTGGTAATATGTTTTGTTAGAATATGAATTAGTAAATTAAGAAATGATCGATTGCATAGAATATTGGCCATTTTGAAGGAGTTGTACATGGTTTGAGTGATAAAGTGTTTTATTTTGATTTTAAAGGACCTAAGAAAGAGTTTTACTTGAAAGTGATGATTTAGAGTATAAGATAAAATGTCATGAGTTGTTGTTAAATGGGTAAGTTTGGTAAGAAAGTTAGCGAAAAGAAAAAATCTAGTGTATTTAAGAGTTCAAGGTATTTAATATTTGCGCCGTGGGAAGAATTTAAGAAATGTGAAGGAATAACACCTTTTATATAGACTCTTGGTTCAAAGTTGAAGGATGTACGAATATGCATATATAAGCTCTAATATGATCGTGGCTGTTAATTAGTTCGCTAGGCTTACTAGAGGTTTATCAACAATATTTATGAAGTTTGGGTTTGAATTGGGTGAAAAACAATGAGGTGTGTAAAATTATGTAATGTTATGTGGAGTTAAATTATTCAGGTTGTGATAGGTGACTTATGGATACGCAACAGTATGGAACTACAATTATACATGGTTCTTGAGGATTTTGAAGAGATTGAAACTACTATTTTTGATGAGACAACCTAGACTGTTATGATGTGTTACATAGGCATTTCATAATGAATAAAGGTATGAGCTTATAGTATATAAAATTATTGGAATGACCAAGGAATTTCTTTGAGTTTTCGCATGACATATATGATAGTTTGAATGGTAGCTGACACTTGGTGTGTAAAAGATTGTCTGGAGTCGAAATTATGGGTGATTCGATAGCATTATATCTATGTGAGAGTACTATTAGATTTGATATTTTTCCTATCAACCTTGAGTGTGGCACGTATCTGTCATGGATCTTTAAATGGAAAGAGAGGGAACCATAGTTGTAAATTTTTAGAGGGTACAATGTATTTTCATAGAAGACTTTCATACTAGCGATAATTTGAGAGTAAGGTAAATGGTTGATGTTTTTAGGATGTTTGTTATTATTAAGAATGATGACTTTATTATAAAACTGTGAAAGTATGTGGGATTTGATAAATAGAATATGTGCAAGATTTTAATGGGGATCAGACTAGTTGAATTTTCATGGAGAAAAAAATTGATGGATGTAGTCAAATGATTGGAAATATTTGATATGGGCACTATGGAA